TGGGTAATTCTTCGTGTGAAAAACGGCCTCAGTAGATGGTGCTGAAGAACCATAAATGTTAAAATACATAATTATTACGAAGACAAACAACACTATCAAGCATTTCTAAGATATCATTAAATAATAGTCAACGCCGGTGAGGAGGCATTAGGCCTAGCGAGACAGTAGGAGGCTGTGTGAGTCTCATCATCCTGCTCTAGGTTATCCGGGTGACAATAGACGCCATCCCCGGTGTATCAGAACCCAGACTACTACAAGACACATGTCCGTCCGGGGCTCACAGCTAATCCATCATGCTAAGGCAGGGAGAGAGGGGAGGGGGACAAGGCGGATATATCCTCCACCCTGCAGTTCCACGTTCCCCTTCTACCAAGTCCCTTAAATTGATACATAAGTCAGATTTCACGATCAGCTTATATTAGCGCGAGCGAGAGAGTAGTGACGACGTGTTGGTTTATCATTATAGACGTCTTGTAAGTGCGTCGATGCTCCTTTGTTTAGGTGTGTTATAGAGAAGGCTTGGTTGGTGTTGCGATCCTCCTTTGTTTTGGTGAATTATTGAGGAGGTTTCGGTGTGCTACTGAGGAGATTTGGAGTTGTGATGCTCCTTTGTTTTGATATGGTATAGCGTTTTGGATTATCACGATGTTCTTTTTTATGTTAAATAAATCGGTTTCCGAGTATTAGAAAGGTGGTTTGAAATATTGCGGGGTGCTCTGCTATTTTCATTAGACTCTTGTATTGTAACGTAGGTCATATAATTTATAGTTTATAATATACTATGATATAATATTGCTTTTATTTCCTACATAACATATTTATATTTTCTTATGACATTCCTGCGTCGGGATGCTCTTTTGTTTTTTGTTTTTTTCCCTTTCCAAGGTTTTGTAATATTCAGGTGACCTTTGGATGATCCTGTACCAGAGAGCTTTTGACATTACGGTATTTTTTTGTTCATTGTTTTCACAAATCCCTAGATCTTATCCTACGTCATCTTACTCGTTTCCTCCATTACTAGCATTAGTTGAAATGACGACCCAGCCAGCACGCTCCCACCAGTACATGCAAGATTCATACCCGCTCGATGCTCCACTGTTTTACCGACTTCAAGAATTTATAGTGCCGAGCGAGTGTTTGGTTTCTGACCTTATGAATTAAGAGGAAGCGACCGTAAAATAATAGTTACGGGTCTTTTGTGACGTCAGAGGGTCTAGTGATCGATCAACACTGCAGAACATTGTCCCCGTGCAATTCTTTGTCTGAAATATGTAAACAAAATATGAAAGGAATTTAATAAAGATATTGACGGTCCTACACCCACTCTAAAGACTATAGGATTTCGATATATTGTACATAAACACAGAGAAAACGCTGTGTCATGATTTTAGGTTAGTTTAAGATAAGTTAGGTTAGGTTAATTTAGGTGAATTTAGGTTAATTTAAGGTAAGTTAGGTTAGGTTAATTTAGGTTAGTTTAAGATAGGTTAGATTAGATTAGATTAGGTTAGGTTAATTTAGGTTAGTTTAAGATAGGTTTGATTAGATTAGGTTAGGTTAATTTAGGTTAGTTTAAGATAGGTTAGGTTAGATTAGGTTAGGTTAATTTAGGTTAGTTTAAGATAGATTAGATTAGATTAGGTTAGGTTAATTTAGCTTAGTTTAAGATAGGGTAGATTAATGTATGTTAGGTTAAGTTAATTTACGTTAATTTAGATTGGGTTAATTTAATTTCGGGAAGGTTAGGCCACGTTAATTTATGGTTAGGTTAATTATATATTACATCAGCTTAGGTTTGGTTAGATTAATTAAATATATACAGGTTTGCTTTGATTAGGTTAAATTAATTATTGTAGTATAGACTGTGTGTGTGTGTGCGCGCGCCATTAACTGATCGTCCTACGTTACCTCACCTCGTTATCTCAACTCTCCATATATTTAAGTAATTTGTAATTTATTCATATAGTCCTAAAGTGACTCCTTAACTCATTTACATAAACCTATTTTCATAAATGTTAATATATACATAATTACTAAATTATATGTTATTAATTTACTCACAAATCAGGTACGAATAATTAGTTTTATTTTGAACTAACACCTGGATATTTACCTGATTAACATATATAACTTACCTGTAATTATTATATCAGGTGTAATTAATAAGGTATATAGATTATACTACAGAGGCTAATATATTTGTATATTTATGGATGATTTTTATCTATATTTAATCTATCTATCTATCTATCTCTCTCTCTCTCTCTCTCTCTCTCTCTCTCTCTCTCTCTCTCTCTCTCTGACACTTCTTTGCCATATACTCTTGTTTTTCTTTTACTCTTCCTCATTCCTTCCTTGCTACCTCCTCCTCCTCTTCTCCCTTTCTCTCTTCCTCTTCACATCATTCGTTTATACTCCCCCTACTACCTTCTCTTCCCCCTCTTCTCCCGTTCTCTCCTCTCTCGGTCTCCTATTCTTTTTCCTCTCTTTCCTTCCTCATACCCTCTCTTCTCTCACCCGTTTATTCCTTCATCTCTCTTCCCTTTTCTCTTACTATCCTCTCTTTCCTTTCTCTTCCCCTCCCTTGTCTTCTTCTTCCTCTCTTTCATATACTCACCTCCCTTTTTTCCCTTTTTATTCTCCCCTCCCTCTTCCTTCCTGCCTTCCCGCTCCCCTCCCCTTCCCTCCCCTTCTTTTGTTTACCTTTCTAAGCCTCTATTCATCAACCCTTTCCTCTCGTCATTATCATCATCTTTATTATCTTCATTATCAAGTCCTTGGTTCTCAAATTATTATTATTATTATTATTATTATTATTATTATTATTATTATTATTATTATTATTATTATTATTATTATTATTATTATTATTATTATTATTATTGTTGTTGTTGTTGTTGTTGTTGTTGTTGTTGTCGTTGCGGTTTTCACACTAATGACCAACGCTTATAAGAGACATTAATCCCTATTTCATTAGCCTGTTAGGGTGGTGTTCAACCTCTGCACCGTGGGAATTTCGTCTCTCCTTGGGCATTCCGGAGCGTCAGGGCAAGAGAGTTATATATGGCCTTTCATTTCAAAGTAGTGAAAATATCCGAGAAGGTGAGATGAGAAATATATATAGTGAAAGTCCGATTGGTTCAGAGTATGTTGGTGCTTCAAGAAACAGTGTGATTTTCTTTTGAGGTGATTGAAGATATAGAAATTTCTCTTGGTTTAAAAGAATGGATAGGACATTCTTTTGATTTGAAGAAAAACAAAAGACTTTCATTTGGGTTTAGAAAAGGTAATACTTTCTCTCGTGTGGATTTTAGTGCTTTCTCCTGAGGTAAAGAAAAATGTATAACTTTTCCTGAGGTAAAGAAAAGTTTAGAAGTTTAGAACCATCTTTTAGGTCGAAGAAGACAGATTAACTGTCTTTTGGATTGATGAACAGTAGAAGTTATTTTTCAGGTAAAAGGCCACGACTTAAGAGCTTCTAGAAAGTAGAATGGAAAGTCCAACATGTTACTTCTTATAAGTGAAAGTTTAATTCGTTTCTGTGTATAAATTATAACGAGGAGAAAGTAGAAAAGAAAGTCTCAAAATCAAACGAGAGGGAGAGAGAGAGAGAGAGAGAGAGAGAGAGACAAGTAGGTCTTGACCCAGGTGGCGTTAGGGTGTTGCATCTTCAGATGAAATAAACTGGAGTGCATAATCATCACGTGATCCAAATTCAGTAACATGTATGAATCGCGAAATAAAGACGGTGGTTGGGGGATGGGGATCAAATTTTCAGCGCCCTTGTGTTCCTACCAGTAATATACGTGTAGATCCGAAGGGAAATTGGATCATAAGTAGGACGTAAATGAGATGGATTGAAATCACTCAGGAGCCGAATTTGTAGTAATATTTATAGTTCAAATTATTACCTAGGCTGGCAAAACCTAGGTAGGGTTCTTGTATTGGCTTATGTCTATGATAGCCATTGGTGAGGGATAGCTTAGTGGTGGTATGGGCCCTCTATTATACCCAGCCTCTGTGTCATGTGTTAGTGAAGGACTTACACTAAGGACTGGAAACAGAGTCAGCATTAATTACCTTTTGGGGGGATGGATTACACATGTGATGGCTGTTTTGGTAACACTTATTGTTTTAATTAAGTTCTGGAACTCTTTAAGTGGCTGGGCTTGATGTAAACACTTCTTGGTATTTTCTGTTTATTATTGAAGCAGGTATACACACAGGTACAATCTGAGAGAATATATTGTGGGTGTCTCCAGGGAAGTGTTGTGAATATCACTTTGAGATAACACTTGAGTTAAGTGCCTGGCTTCCCTGTCTAATGGTAGTAAGTGAACTGCCCTTTCTGGGTGTAAGAGAGCGAGCCCGTTGTTTGCTAAATCAGCTGACCCTCACTCGACCTTTGAGAGAGATGCAAGCCAAGTTATCTAGGTCTTTAATAACATGGTGACTCATTTGGTGAATAACTTGGTGAATAACTTGGTGTTCTTCATTCGGGTGAATATTTATATAAAGCAAAGGTGCTGTTACACACACACACTTGACAAGTTTCTAAGATGCAGGAATAGCACTGAAGAATATAGTAATTCTCAGTTGTACAGTTAAGTGAGGTCAGAGTAGGCTAAATTTCTGATGCACTCCTTTATTACAGATGGAAGGTGGGATACCATCAGGTCCACATTGTTTGCTTTCTATATGGTGAAAAGCAGAAGACCCAAGGTAAAATATTTTACTGAAGGAAGTCGTAACAGCCATCAGGGATTGAATTTCAGGAAACATGGAATCTACTAGACTGGTTTTATCTTCGGCTTTGTAGGCAGCTGTGAGATCAGGGTAGATATTTCATGACCTTAAATATCTTCTGTTCGTGGATTGACATATGAAGTGCACCAAACGGACAGATATGACGTCATCGATTGCAATGTGATGTCAGAGTCGGTTATCAAATGGACTAGTGTGAATCAGACTCAACTGAGAGGATAAATAGAAAGAACAGATCGGAGTTGTAATGTTTATTTTGATAATAGTGGTGAGTGTTGGTTAGTTGTGCCAGGCCTCACCAAGCCTCTGTCGTCAGCTGGCTCCATGTGTGTCTGTGAACAGGAATATATTGGTTAATTTTTCTCTTGGTAAATCCTATAACACTTGAAGAAAAACATCCAAATAACATGTTTATATAAATGAGTTCTAGTTAACATTATTCTCACACCAACAACCAGTTACTTCAGTGTGTAGCCCACCTTAAGTAATTTGACCCACCTTAGGACCCACTGACCGACCTCCTCCTAGACCCACCTAGGATATCAACCCACTAACACCACCTATACCCACCTAGCACACTGACCCATTAACCCACCTCCCACTAAACCCACTAACCCACCATCTTGAATACTGACCCACTAACCCACCTCCCCCTAAACCTACTAACCCACCAACCCAACTAAGGAACCATCTAGGACACTGACCCACTAACCCACCAAAGGAACCATCTAGGACACTGACCCGCTAACCCACCTCCTCCTAAACCCACTAACCCACCTAAGGAACCATCTAGGACACTGACCCACTGACCCACTACCACCACCTACACCCACCTTGGACACTAACCTACTAACCCACCTCCTCCTAAACCCACTAACCCACCTAAGGAACCATCTAGGACACTGACCCACCTCCTCCTACACCCACCTAGGACACTGACCCACTAACACCACCTACACCCACCTAGGACACTAACCTACTAACCCACCTCCTCCTAAACCCACTAACCCACCTAAAACACCATCTAGGACACTTGCCAACTAACCCACTTTCTCTTAGACCCACAACCCATCTCCTCCTAGACCCACTAACCCACCTCCAAGACCTACCTAGGACACTGACCCACTAAACCCACCTCCTCCTCGAGCCACTAACCCACCTCCTAGATCCACCTAGGGTCACTGGCTGGCCCACCAAGGATGGCGTCTCGGCCTGGCTGCCACATACATATTTATTACCCTAGGGACGTGGGCTGCTGTCCCTCAGTAGGTTAGTGTGTGGGGCGCACCGTCTGCTTACTGCCGCACCGTCTGCTTACTGCCGCACCGTCTGCTTACTGCCGCACCGTCTGCTTACTGCCGCACCGTTTGCTTACTGCTGCACCGTCTGCTTACTGCACCGTCTGCTTACTGCTGCCGTCTGCTGCACCGTCTGCTTACTGCTGCACCGTCTGTTTACTGCTGCACCGTCTGTTTACTGCTGCACCGTCTGCTTACTGCCGCACTGGTCTGCCTACTGCTGGCACTGGTCTGCTTTCTGCTACATCGGTCTGGTAACTGCTTCACTTAAAAATGACAGATAAATTAATATAATATGCATGGCTGGATATACGTGTGTCTGTCTGTCATCCTGTCTGTCTGTCTGTCTGTCTGTCTTTCTGTCTGTCTGTCTGTCTGTCTTTCTGTCTGTCCACTGTGAAAGAAAATCTCTTGTCTGGTAAAAGAAAGTTTTGTAGAGAGAAAATTATGTTTTCTAAACTTTTAACAAACAAATCCGTTTTGCGGTCACATTATTTGTTCCCTGCTGTGAAGAAAACTGTTTTCTGCTGTAATTATGTCTGTTCTCTGGTGTAAACAGTTTTGTTCTCTGCTGTAAATATGTTTTATGCTGTAAATATCTGATCTCTGTCTGTAAATGTCTTTTCTCTGTTGTAAATGTTTGTTCTCTACTGTAAATGTCTGCTCTCTGCTGTAAATTTGTCTGTTTTCTGCTGTAAATGTCTGTTCTATGCCGTAAATATCTCTGTTCCTCCTTTCTGATATACTCTTTTTACTGTAGAAATAGGTCTGTCCTCTGTTGCAAAATTATCCCTTATGCTGTAAAAAATTTTCTTGGCTTCATAATAAATCTTGTAGACACGAAAGGTCTATCTGTCTGCTGTGACCTGAGAGCTGACAAATGCTGCCCTCTGCTGTGACAGAAGTGTACGCTTGTCTGCTTCTCTGCTGTTACAGGAGTGTACACATGTCTGCTTCTCTGCTGTGGTGTCAGTGTACGCATGTCTGCTTATCTGTGTGACAGGAGTGTACACATGTCTGCTTCTCTGCTGTGACAGGAGTGTACACATGTCTGCTTCTCTGCTGTTACAGGAGTATACACATGTCTGCTTCTCTGCTGTGACAGTAGTGTACACATGTCTGCTTTTCTGCTGCGACAGGAGTGTACACATGTCTGCTTCTCTGCTGTTACAGGAGTGTCACATGTCTGCTTCTCTGTTGTAACAGAAGTGTACACATGTCTGCTTTTCTGCTGTGACAGTAGTGCACACGTGTCTGCTTCTCTGCTGTGACAGTAGTGTACACATGTCTGCTTCTCTGCTGTGACAGTAGTATACACATGTCTGCATCTCTGCTGTCACAGTAGTGTACACATGTCTGCTTCTCTGCTGTAACAGTTGTGTACATATGTCTGCTTTTCTTGCATTCACAGTAGTATACACATGTCTGTTCTCTGCTGCCGCAGTAGTGTACACATCTCTGCTTCTCTGCTGTCACAGTTGTGTACACAGGTCTGCTTCTCTGCTGTGACAGTAGTGCACACATGTCTGCTTCTCTGCTGTGCCAGTAGTGTACACATGTATGCTTCTCTGCTGTGACAGTAGTGTAGACATGTCTGCTTCTCTGCTGTGTCAGTAGTTTACACATGACTGCTTCTCTGCTGTGTCAGTAGTGTACACGTGTCTGCTTCTCTGCTGTGTCAGTAGTGTACACGTGTCTGCTTCTCTGCTGTGTCAGTAGTGTACACGTGTCTGCTTCTCTGCTGTGTCAGTAGTGTACACATGTCTGCATCTCTGCTGTCACAGTAGTGTACACGTGTCTGCTTCTCTGCTGTGTCAGTAGTGTAGACATGTCTGCTTCTCTGCTGTCACCGTAGTGTACACATGTCTGCTTCTCTGCTGTCACCGTAGTGTACACATGTCTGCTTCTCTGCTGTCACCGTAGTGTACACATTTCTGCTTCTCTGCTGTCATAGTAGTGTAGACATGTCTGCTTCTCTGCTGTCACAGTAGTGTACACATGTCTGCTTCTCTGCTGTCACCGTAGTGTAGACATGTCTGCTTCTCTGCTGTTACAGTAGTGTACACATGTCTGCTTCTCTGCTGTTACAGTAGTGTACACATGTCTGCTTCTCTGCTGTCACCGTAGTGTAGACATGTCTGCTTTCATTGTCAATGTAGGTAGACATGTTCGCTTCTCTGCTGCCATGGTAGTGTAGAGCATGTTCGCTTCTCTGCTGCTCAAGGTAGTGTAGACATGTTCGCTTCTCTGCTGTCACAGTAGTGTAGACATGTCTGTCTTCGCTGTCACAGTAGTGTGCTGGCCATATCTGCTTCTCTACTGTCATTGTAGTGTAGACATGTTCGTTTCTCTGCTGTGTCAGTAGTGTACACATGTCTGCTTCTCTGCTGTGACAGTAGTGTACACGTGTCTGCTTCTCTGCTGTGTCAGTAGTGTAGACATGTCTGCTTCTCTGCTGTCACCGTAGTGTACACATGTCTGCTTCTCTGCTGTCACCGTAGTGTACACATGTCTGCTTCTCTGCTGTCACCGTAGTGTACACATTTCTGCTTCTCTGCTGTCATAGTAGTGTAGACATGTCTGCTTCTCTGCTGTCACAGTAGTGTACACATGTCTGCTTCTCTGCTGTCACCGTAGTGTAGACATGTCTGCTTCTCTGCTGTTACAGTAGTGTACACATGTCTGCTTCTCTGCTGTTACAGTAGTGTACACATGTCTGCTTCTCTGCTGTCACCGTAGTGTAGACATGTCTGCTTCTCTGCTGTCACAGTAGTGTACACATGTCTGCTTCTCTGCTGTCACAGTAGTGTACACATGTCTGCTTCTCTGCTGTCACAGTAGTGTACACATGTCTGCTTCTCTGCTGTTGCAATAGTGTACACATGTCTGCTTCACTGCTGTCACCGTAGTGTACATATGTCTGCTTCTTTGCTGTCACCATCGTGTACACATGTCTGCTTCTCTGCTGTCACAGTAGTGTAGACATGTCTGCTTCTCTGCAGTCACAGTAGTGTACACATATCTGCTTCTCTGCTTTCACAGTAGTGTAGACATGTCTGCTTCTCTGCTGTCACAGTGTACACATGTCTGCTTCTCTGCTGTCACAGTAGTGTACACATGTCTGCTTCTCTGCTGTCACCGTAGTGTATATGTCTGCTTCTCTGCTGTCACAGTAGTGTACACATTTCATTAGACGTTCTTCTAATGAATAATAATTTGTATAAGCCTTATTTTTAAATATCCAAATATTACAAGGGTTTTAACTAATTATTTAAGATATCTTCATAAGACTAAAAATTAATAATCAAAATTTTTGTAAACTTACCCTTCAAAAATATAGACTTTTTATAAGACTTACCTCTATTTATTAAGACTTTTTTCTAATTAAGACAAGTTTCTAGGCTTTTTACCTTTTAGTATTTGAGACATTTTGATAAGACTTCCATTGAATTACCTAGACTTTTATAAGACTTACCTGTAATTATTTTCTTTCTTTTTTCTGAAGCTCCTCCTCCTCCTCCTCCTCCTCCTCCTGCTCTTCTTCTTCTTCGTCTTCTACTAAGATTTTTTCTTCATCATTTGGTTACTGACTTCATCATCATTCAATATTGGCTGTTATTATTTTTCCATCATTATCATCACCATTCTCATCTTTATACCTTATCCTCATTACCACCTTTATCATTATTATCCTCATCATCATCACCATTCTCGCCATCATACTTATCATCATTATTACTAGAAATTATCATTATCATCATCATCATCATTATTATCATCATAGTATTATTTTTATCATCATCATCAGGACTGTTCTTCTTACCATCATTTCCATCTTCATTATGGTTCTCATCACCACCATCACCATCTTTACCACCATTATTAGGTTTTTCACTATCACCCCCCCCATTATCATCATTTGTCATTATTATCACTCTTCCTCTCCACCATGTCCGTCAATATTATTATCATTATCATCACCTTCTTCATCATTATCATCATCATCACTATCATCCCCATCATCATCATCATCATCATCATCATAATCACCACCATCAACACCATCATAAGGACACATCACTATACTAAGGTACAAGGAAACACCAACGCGTTTGTGTATCTTTTTATTCATATAAACACGGAATCTGTGTTGAGACTCGCAGCAGTGGATCATCAGAATTTTGGACATACAGTACAGTACGTTGACCTAAAATATTTTGCAAGTTACAAAAAAAAATAAAGTAAAGACGATCGAATTTTGGAAAGATCTTTAAAAGTTATTTCAATTGTAAATTTTTATTATTTTATGGAGATATATATTAATATATATATATATTTTTTATGACAGACAGTATTATAGGTGCTTTTTAATATTTTTTTATGGTTATTTTTCTTATTTTATATATCCAGAAGGAAGCAGGAACCATCTTTTTTCTCCAGTGTTCTGATTGGTGAATGGATAACCGAGGTTGTTGCAGTTCTTTGTCTGTTGTTGTTGTTGTTTTTTTTTCATTTAATAAGTTGTTGTGAAGCTGATTTTAATGGGCTTAGTGTAAGGCTTATTAGGTGTTCCTTGGTGATGTTAATGTGGGTAAAACACATCTTTGACCGGACCAGAAATTCTTGTGTAGCAGAATGTTGAAGAGGTTGACAAATGGTCTTTCTAACTTGGAAGATATTTGACCGAGTGTTGAAATGACTGAGTGTAAGAGTGACTGAGTATATGTGTGACTGAGTGTAACTGTAATTGGATGTAACAGTGAGAGACTGTGACTGTGTATGAGTATAACAATGAATGACTTTAACAATGATTGAGTGTAACAGTGAGTATAACTGTGACTTAAGAGTAACAGTGAATGAGTGTACCAATGTCTATGTTACTTGAGTGACTGTGTGTGTGTGTGTGTGTGTGTGTGTGTGTGTGTGTGTGTTACAAAAGATAATGAAAAAAAAAACATGACATCTTGAACAGTAAAAATTCTGAATATGTACTGTAAGTTGTTGATTGAGTGAACATTAAGATCACAAGAAGCGAGAAGATGTGTGTGTGTGATGAGTGATGTTGTCTCAGCTGTGATGAATGATATTGTCAACCTTTGGTGACACAAGGAATCCTGGTCTGGTCTAACCCAGGTTAAGAGAAAGTGTGAGTAGCCATGTCGACCACAACACCAGGACTGAAGACTATAGGCAGTCTCTCCCTAGTAATAAGACAACCAGCAGCCTCACACACAAACACGCTGGTGAGGTGAGGACACTGCTGCACCTAGAGAGATCATGTTATCTCCAGTGGCTGATGCTGTTGCTGACACGGCTCTTTTGGGGATTATCCCGAAGGAGAGAAAAGAAGTATAAATCTGCAATGTTGTTTCAAGACAAATTTTGAGTTGGTTGATTTTTCCGATCCCCGCTTCCCTCTGGGGGTGCCAAGTCTCTTCATTCTCCCGAGGAGGTTGGGTCTACCCCTGCCAGGCTTTCAGCTTCATTAAGGAAAAAAGAGATGTTTAAGGGGAGAAAACGTGTTGCGGATAATACAGAACCAGAGAATGATAAGTCGATCAGAAGTGAAGAAAGATTTTCGTTGGGGGGGCTAAGTTACTCTTTTGGGGGGAATTTGAGTTATTCTTAGATTTTGCTATTTTTTCTATATTTTTTGTTGGTTTATATTATAAAAAGAATGACTTCTTTATCGAGTGAGGAAACTGACTGTTTTTTGTCGTTTTTTTTTGTTTTAATGGAAAGATCCAATTCATGTTGTGATATGTTGTTGAGGGATGAATGTTGTAGTATGTGGAGGCTGTGAGTGTTGGATCATTCTCTGGTTCACATCGGTGTCCAGGACTTACAGAGTCAACACAACCACTTACAATCTTTGCTCCATCTCTACTTCTGCCTTACAAATCCTTACTAGTTTGATTATAACATTATAAGCACACATATAACCTACATTATAAATGACTCCAAGTTACAGCCACTGATGAAAACGGTCAAATTTCATATAATTCACATAACGTAGACATGATACAAATTTAGTATAGCACCAGTCATTAAATAATTCGGCTCTGGTGTGTGTGTACAGTATATATTAAAAAAAGCCACCCACACTCCAACAACAATGAACAAATTACATTCAAAATAATAAACATGAATTTCTCACTCAATGACACTTTAATATACCTAATAAAACTAAGAAAATGAAGGAGTGCTTATGTTTTACATTCACTATGATTTTCATCTTTATTATACACAAAAAAGACACACGCTTCAAAACTCCCTTTTTGTTTTAATACACCATAGACCATACCTTTCCTAGAAATTTTCAAACACACACACTCAAAAAAAAAAAAAGTGAACTTTGCGACAGGGCAATGAATATCCGATACAAGATTCCGTTTGAGGGAGCCACACACACGCCACGGTCTCTCTCACGCCCTGGAGTCGTCTCATGATCTACCTAAAGTAGGATGCGGTCATATTACAAAATTAATAGGCAACGCCCTTTCTCTAGTTTACAGTGAGCTTCCAAAAAGTAGACAGAATCAGGAATTGATGCAAAGGTTTCTACACAATTATTAGGCGACGTGATCATCCCTTATGAGGATTTGATTCTTCTGTTTTGTTACTATTTTATTTTTCCTTTCGTTTTGTTTTTGCTTTGTGTTTAATTTGGTTTGTTTGTTTTGGATATCCTACACGAAGTTCAGACAGTCAGATATAGTAGACATCTGTTTTCTGGCCGACGTGAAGGACAGATAAGGCAAAAAAAAAGACTATGATCGGTCGTAACATATTGATGGGAAACTACGAGAAGTGAAGATGTATCTCAGTCAAGGTGTACCGAATGCTCATAATGGTTGATCAGGTGCCCGAGAAGTACTGTACACGGTTGGAACCCTTACCCAGCTATCAGATTGGTATAACAAACCACATCACCACGCATTGACTCCGATCCCGTGCTCTCTAGGCTGGTTACTTATAGTTATATCCTTATGTCCATCAAAATAGAAAAAACAAATAATGCATCAAGTGCTCTTAAAAATTAAATCAGAAGGCTTAGAAAGATACTGTTTACATAAGAGAACAAAAGAGGATTTCGAATGACATTTACTGATATGATAAAAGAAAAAAAATCAAAGGAGATGAAGACAATAAGTAAGTAAATAAGTAAAGTAAAGTAAAGTAAGTTGAAACAGATCTTTGTTGGGTTTGAGAAACTTAGGGAAGAAAATAAGAAGAGTCGAGAGTTTTAAGAGCACAGGAGTTGCGTCGGTGCTTAACATAGAGTCAGGTACAGAAGTACTCTTAGCACACCTTGTAGAGCCTGGGCGGGTAGGGGAGGCCTCGGTCAGCGTCTGGATAAACTTTAGTGAATAACATCAGAGCCTGACAGAGAAACCTTTTTTCTCTGTCTCGTGATGATCTGTAGTTATGGGATTTGTTTTTGTTTTTTAATATATTATGTATTTCATCTGTTTGTTGTTATTCTGCAAATGGACTGATTATAATATTGGCCGTCAGGGTGAACTCTGGTTATGCTGACGTGGTATATGTAGGTGTTTGTGGGTGTCGAATAGCTTGTGATAGGTACTGGGGGGAGGTGTTGTAAGGACAAGAATATCTAATTATTGACTTACTTATTAAAGCTAAATTAAACGTAGAAATTAAGTTGAATTGAGAGATACTACGAGGGGTTGTAGGCTGGTGAAAATAGTAGTTTGTTTGGCCGTTTTTATTTGTATTTGACGAAAATGTGACAAGATGTTCATGTGTAGAACGAGCAACGTATACTTGGGTGTTCGTGTTTGTACTAAGTCTTTTTGGAGGTGTAAATCATAAAATATATTATTAGGTATTAAGTGGTTGCTTCAGCTTATTGAGTTGTGATCTGGTGCCAGCCAGTATGTTGTGGTTGTGGTGGTAAGTTGTTAAGGGAGGTTGACTGCCGACACCCCCCGCCTCGCCAGGTCTCCTTGGTCTATGCCGTATATACAAGCACACTGAGGGCGTGCACCCAGGAGACACGTTTGAGTCCATCTCTGCTCCCACCTACGCTCACACTGCCTCAACTCTCCTCCTCAACAAGTTGTTCTTACCACACTTACTATCTCCACACTCCTCTTACAACTCTCACTCTCCCTTCACACTCCTCTCACCATTCACTCTGTCTTCACATTCTCCTCAACTCGTCCTCGTCACCTCCACACTCTTCCACTCCAGTCTCCCCTGAACCTGATGGTGGGGTCACAGCTGCTGCTTCATCTCACACTCACACTTTGACTGAAGCCGCAGACACACTTTGTTGTCGACTAAAAGTGTGTCAACGGCTTCCATCTAGTCTGAAGTTCAACATAACACGTCCAGCCAGGCCAGGCCAGCAGGAAAAGTGCATCGACGGACTCAAGCGCCTCTCCTGAACACAAGCACACTTACAAAGAGAACCAATCAGGGCAAAGAATTTTTGTTTTTTACATAAAATTCGTTCTCATTGGCTCTATCAGCGAACAGGAACTTAGAGGCAGAACCTTTTATCAAATATTTTGAATCTGGAAGGACAATGTCTTTTAAAGGATCGCCTCAGGTTATGACAAATACAAATTTAGTTCATTTACACACCTACAAATACATGCAAAAATTTATGTATTCTTACTAACAAACAACATTTTACCTTTATGAGGATGTCATCAAAATTTCCTCTGAAATCAGTTCCATTGTCATTCCATTACAATTAATTACTTATTGTCTTATTGGTTCTACAGATAAAAAACATTACCATTTTACTGTACACTTGTGGAAACGATCGCCAAGGTAAATTGTCACACAGTACAGGTAAGGTTGTGGGGAGACGTACACTCTCTAACCCTTACTCAGCTTGTAGTCCAGTTGGTGTTTTCTTCTTGTTCTTTTTCTGTCGCAGGGCCACTCAGTCACACAAGTCCAATCAGACAGTGCCAATCAGACAGTGCCACTCAGACAGTGCCTAATCCCACGTCCAACACAGGGACATTTAATGAGCATGACAGGAAGTTCTCAACCTCATGCAGACACCCCCAGTAAGGTTGGTTTTCCTCATCTAAATAACAAGTCTCAGTGGCATGGTACTGACAAAATAATACAATACATTATTTAAATCAAAGGTTAAATTTAACAACAACATTCCTAAAACATACTTTGCTTGGTTATATTCTGTTAACAACACTTGGATACAGACCCTATTGGACTTCTTCATAAGGTTCAAAATACCCCATCATCCAGAGCTACTCTCAAAATTCTCCAGAAGTGAAATTAATTTGTCACAAAAAAATAAATAAATAAATGTGAATTTTATTTGCACTAAAATTTTATATGAACACAAAAAATCGGGATTTAATTTACTGGATTGACTTTGATGAACTAAATTAAACAATGAGAGAAAAATTCTTTAACAATTTAAAATTATTAATTGTATTTTTTCCCTCACATAACACAATGATCTCTGCCGTTTGTTCTTCAAGTTGATGCTCTAAGGTAGACTCTTACAAACACTGTAATCTTAAATTGAATAAAATCGTTTTGTACTATGAATTTTCACTTCCGGAGATTACAAGAAGAGAGAGAACTGCGCTTGGCTGTTTAACTGTAGTTTTAGTGTTAGGTCTGGTAGTTCAGTGTCAGTCAACACAACATTATCTTACGTATTACAGACTAAACCTTGAGAGATTTCGAGGAGCATCTTTGGTACTGCTGGAAGTCGATCCGTTAAAAGTCATTCATCGTATGAATGTTGAGTTAAAAATATATCTTATATATCATTCAAAACTATTTACAATTGGTAGGTTATCCTTTAAATTAATTTTCCTTTATAAACTTTGGATATAAATAATTACTGGTAACATAAGATCTATTTGTATATTTTGTAACAATATGAAAATACTTTAATTCTCATTGATTTCGCAAGTCATCATGAGTCAGCAGTTTATCCAGCAATACCAGAGATTCCCAAAGAAATTGTCAGACATCTTACAGAATATTGAGAAGCACCATATTGACCCAACCTATAACCTCCTCCAACACCTACATATTTTCCAAAAGAATCAGTCACTTTTTATTTGTATTTGGAATTGATCTTCGATGTTCACTTTCCTCAATTTTTATTACCAGCTAAAGCCGTCAGAATCACCCAACACAAACGCAAATAAAACAGGTGATGAACAGTCAATCAATCACCCCAAAAGGACTAGTTTGTGACCCTCCTCATGACCTGATATCACACACACACACGCACACACATACACACACATTTCCAAACACGTCACAATGAGAAACATCTTAAAATCCCTAACTATACAACGTCGAAGAAATTACCATCTTGTCCATGCCTTAGTCCGTACACTGACCCTAAATACTTCTGTTGTTGTGAAGATCAACGTCGGGAGAATGTTGAAAGATCACACGGGTCAAATTTGATCAGATAGTATGTGAAGTTAGAAAGACTTATCTAAAATATGTCTATTAAATTAAAAAAAAAAATCCTTGAGTGAGTTGTGTCATTTATGGGAGGGGGGAAAAAAAAACATGTTTATTTAGTTGTTAAAGTGAAAAAAAAATACGTGTTTTTCGTGTACTGTATTTTTTTTTTTTTAGGTTAGTGTTACCAGATAAAGGGGTAAATGTCTCGAGTATTATGACTAGTATGGTTTTAAGGTCAATCTCGTCGTATGGTGGGTCGGGTGTACTGTAATGTTTCTCTAATGTGGATGGCATAGAACGTGAGTTGGTCGAGTCGTACTGGTTAATTCGTACTATACCAGTTAAGTCCTACTAGTTGAGTCGTACTGTTCAGTCGTACTGGTTGAGTCGTACTGTTGAGTCGTATCGGTCGAGTCGTACTGTTGAGTCATATTGGTGGAATCGTAGTATACTAGTTGTGCCGTACTAGTTGAGTCGTACAGCCCATCGAGTCGTATCTCTCAGAGCTGGTTGTCTAGGAACTCTAATGTATCGAAGGAAGATAATGTGGTAAGTCATGTTAACAGATTGTCTTTGCATAATATTCATCAGTAGTCTGACTGTTACGTCTATAGTGAAAAGTTGCGTCAAGATGTGAGTGTTGTCAAAGTCTTTTCACTCAACTTCCTACAATGACCTCCTCTGACCCAATAAGCAGCTTCACTAACAGATGTCACAACAAGTGTCCAGCTACACACACTCATACACACACCGTGACTAGGAAACACCTCCTGGTGATCACTGATAAAAAAATAAATGTACTCGTCCAATAGTCTCTCGCTTCAGCAGTTCTACAGGTCGCGCATCAGTAACCCAGCCACCGTAAAGGCTACAATAATTATACACACTAAGTACAGATTCATTATACATAAAATACGCCCCTCAGAGAGTTTGTATTCTTACCCTCACGATATAAGAAGAAAAAAAAATACTTATAATATGCCTTGCTATAAACATTGTGGTGATTGTTTTCGTGATTTTCAGGATTACAAAATAAAAGTTTTCTCATGTGCTTATTTTTTTTTCTACAGCTTTTCAGAAATAAATCTTGTCTATGTTTATTATTGTTATGTATTGCTGTACCTTGATGTATCTGTTTCTTTTTTCCTTTTCTTTTCTCTTTCGTTCTTCACTTGTTTCATCTAATTCTCTTCTTCCTGTTATCCACCTTCGTTTATTCCTCCATTATACTTCATTATTCATCTCAATTATACTCGACTTTGTTCGATACTTGGCTGCCTTCTGCTATAATTATCCTATTTTGGGCTATTTTTTGAGGTGTTATGACTTGGCCTATATTTTGGCTACACTCAGATGTGTTTTCAGATGTATTTTAGGCTATAATCAGCTATAATGGCTGCAATCAGTGTTACGTCTTCAGGTTATGTTTTGGCTATAAGTCAGGCTATGTGTTGGCTATAATTCAGGCTATGTTTTGGCTATAATTCAGGCTATGTTTTGGCTATAATTCAGGCTATACTTATTTTGTTTTTTAGTTACAATTGGTTATAATATCATGAGAACAGCGCACACGAGCTCCGGCCTCTGCACGTCTGGGCCACACTTAACTATAGCATAGGGGAGTCACAGAGCAATAAGGATCACAATATTTTTTCCCTTTAAACTACAAGACAAAATGTTAGAAATTGAAGAAACGAAATCAGCCTTAAAAATATGGTCAAGGTGATTAATAGAAGAAATTATTTGCTTGTTGGTGAAATGATTTAGTAGTGGGGGAAACTATTTACTTTTGGGGGGAAATTATTTACTTGTGGAAGAAATTATTTACTCACTGAAAAAAGTACTTGCGTTCACAACTCAGAAAATTATATATAAAAAATTATTTGCCATTAAAAGATTATTTGTTAATAACTCTCACTCATTGGAAGATTAAAAAGAAGTAAGAAAATACATATATATGAACACTTAATGTAGAAAGTTTATAAACTATTTGTAAAAAAAAAAATATTATTATTACTACTTCAACAGCACGAAAATTATTACCATAATGATAATTGTAATAAAAATCTTGGTATTTATTATTAGTAAAAGACCTGACGGATTATTGGTATAATATTGCCATTATAGAAGTAGAGACAGATAGTTAAAATTGATTGTGTAATTAGGAAGTAATTATAGATGGTTTTGAGGGAATTAAGGGGTTAGTGTGTATATAGAGAGTTAGTACAGTGTATATAAACCAACATGACTTGATTCGTAAGCCAGTCGTGTTTGGTGGTCCGTATGAGAGTTTGGGCAGAAATTGTACGTGTATTGATCCAGTATAATTTAGGTGTTGGAATTTTTGCATGTTTGACCTGTGATGTGAAAATACATGTTAGATGCTTCTATATACAAAAAAAAAACATACAATTAGTTTTTAGTTAGTTTGTGTTTGTGGCTGAAAGCATTAAGTGCAAAAAAAAGTGATAAAAAGAAAAGATATATTTAACGGTACTGATAATATATGTAACTCACTTAAAGCTAATTATAATATTTAAGCGTTGTTTATGTGATTAGTTATTAGAGAACAAAAACACGGAAAAAACACATTAAATTCTCTCCAATTTCTCTTTTTTCTGTTTCTTTACGCTGTTTTTTTTCCTTCCATCTTTTCAACTTACTTATTAATTGTACCTTAAATTGATTACTTTTATTCCTTATTATTCCTATTTGTACCATTTACTACTTTACTTCTGTTTGGGTATAGTTGTTCCAATCCCTAATCACCCATATTAGTTGTACTTTATACTTTATACATTAGTTTTTCTTCTATCGTTTATACCTTAGATTATTACACCCTGTTGATCATCACAGGTGTTCCCGCTGTCAATCTTTCCTACCTCCTATCACACTTGTTCTATGTTCTTTTGTACACGTGTTCTTTATCACTTCAACTTTGCATAACCCCAATTTGTGTACAATACCACATTAGTACAATATCACATTGACGTACATCGCTTCTCTTTTGTTTTTTGGATTTGGTTAAGTTGTACAGGATGTAAACTTAAACCAGATTCATTCTCTCTCTCTCTCTCTCGCTCTCGCTCTCGCTCTCGCTCTCTCTCTCTCTCTCTCTCTCTCTCTCTCATTCTCTCTCTATGTCTAAGTTGTACCATGTCAAGGTTTATCACATTTGTTGTACATACACGTAGCAATATTCTCTTGTACATCTTATCATTTCTCATCTCCAACATTACGGCTTTGATAACTGACTACTGTACTTTGATTTGAAATAGCAATTATTTTTTTATCTAATTCCCGATTAATATATATCTTTAGGGTCAATTTTATCATTGTTATATTTTTTTTATTAAGTCAGTTCGTAATTGTATCGATAATTTATAGTTTTATTTTTTTTCCAGTTTCTAAATATTCATCTACTGAGGCATTGTTTACATCTTGTATTTTCAGTTGTATCTGTTCCTCTTTACTCCCTCCGCGGGTGTTTTTTTTTATATAACTTATATGTTCACTTGTACTCGGTCTCCTTTCAGATATTTTTGTTTTTGTTTTTAGTTTGTTTACTTGTTACGTTTCATTGTACTTTTGCATTGGCATAATTCATCTTTGGTGTCATCATCTGCTTCCTGTGACCTTTTTTACGTTATCTCTCTCTCTCTCTCTCTCTCTCTCTCTCTCATTTCTTATCGTATTATTCGTGTCTCTCACCTCACTCATGCCTCAGAGACATTCGCTAACTAACTAACTGTAACTTTTCTGTCTAAACTTGACTACAACTCTTTATCTTAGTCAACCTTCTCGGGAATTAAACCAACCAATTGATTTTTTTTTCTCCTAAAACAGCATAGTTGAGTTTTTGTTGTTGTCTGTCTGTTTGTGCACCACATAGCCTCTGGTGGTATTGTCCTCCACCACCACTCTCCCCCGACCCTTCTCTTCCATCGCTTTCCTTTCCGCCACCGATCTCCTCCATCAAACATCACTACTCTTCTCCACCAAACACCACCCCTCCTTCTCTCTTACACTACCCCTTCCTCCACCACCACTCCACCATCACTTCCCCAACACACACACATTATACCTGACAAGCATCGGACATGAACAATGGCATCGGGATTACGTTGAGACTCTACCCTACTCCGAAATACTGTTATGAAGGTGAAAATTAACCTTACAGACTTTTCGTTAATCCTGACACGTTAATCCCAGCCAGGTGAAGCCGTTAACCTGTACCTATGCGAGTAATTAACTAATAAAGAAAGATTAAATTAAGTTTACAGTCCTTAAGTTATAAATACATTATTCTATTTTGAATATATTGGACTTTTGGGGAGAATTTTAGTCTTTTAGTATTTTGGATATTTGAAGACTTTTATGTAATTTTGAACCGTGTTGCTGTTTGTTTGTTTTTATTTTGGTCTTTTTTAATTGGGGATTTTTTTTTATCTTGGAATTGTGGACTTTGTTATGTAAATTATCAATCGTTGAATTCCTAGACGCCAGTGTTTCCGGACGGCAATTTTTACACATTCCCTAATAATGATGATCTTGACTTTCACCAAATTGAAGATTAATTAGTTCCCTATTAAACCCCCATTAATTATTACCCATTACGTATCTACACCCATTAGTTATCGCCCATTATATCAGCTCTCTTGTGCCGTTGATGTTTATTTTTTTGTTCCTTTGGTCTACACGAACTCGAGAATCCAAAGCCTTAATGAGAAGATGTAGGAGGAACTTAACGCCAGGTGGTAGAGGTGAGTGTGTATCATCACTTGAGTGCGTCGTCTGAGTGTTTCATCTAAGTGTATCATCTTCATCTGAGTGCAACAAGTGATTGTATAATGTGAGTGTAGTTACTGAGTGCGTCTATTTTTTTTAAGTGTATCTTATGAGTCTTTCTGAGTGTATAATCTGAGTGTCTGAGTGGGAGAGGCAAGGAATAAGAGGGAGAGGAGAATGGGGAGGTAAGTAGGTACATAGGGATGGGAGGGAGGTACAGGGAGGAGGGAGGGAGGTAGGTACTGGAGGGAGGTAGAGGAGGAAGAGGGAGGGAGGTACTGGGAGGTAGGTACAGGGAGGAGGAGGGAGGTACTGAGAGGTAGGTACAGGTACAGGTACAGGGAGGGAGTGGGGGAGGGGTACTGAGAGGGAGGGAGGGTACTGGGAGGTAGGTACTGGGAGGAGGGAGGGAGGTACTGGGAGGAAGGAGGGAGGTACAGGGAGGAGGGAAGGAAGTACTGGGAGGTAGGTGCAGGGATGAAGGAGGGAGGTACAGGGAGGAGGGAAGGAAGTACTGGGAGGTAGGTACAGGGAGGAGGAAGGGAGGTACAGGGAGGAAGGAGGGAGGTACAGAGAAACAGGTACAAGGAAGAGGGAGGGAGGTACTGGGAGGTAGGTACAGGGAGAAGGGGGCGGAGTAAGTAGAGACTCCCTCCCCCTCTCCCCTTGTACACAGAGGACTGGTTGGATCCATCGGCTTGAAAGCTTAACCCGGGCGCCAGCTGTTTCCAGGAACACACCCTCCACCTCTCCCACTTTCCTCCCTCCCCCCCACCTCTCTCTCTCTCTCTCCTCATCGACTCGCCCTCCCTTCCTCCATCCCTCCCCTCTCCTCCACCTATCCACCCAACACTTACCGATATAAACAGTCTCTCTCTCTCTCTCTCAGCAGTTTTAAGGATTTTACTCAATGGTTTAAGATCTAAATATCTCTCTCTCTCTCTCTCTCTCTCTCTCTCTCTCAGCATCGCCTCTACATTTTCACCACCCTTCTCTTCCTTGTGGCTCTAAGTTGAGAACATTATCTTATGACTCCAAATCATTGTCTTAAAACATACAAGATAAAAATTATGATTAAAATAAAGATTAATTTTAACATCTAAATGAATCAATCTCTTAACATTTATATTTTCTATTGTTTTCTCACCGTCGTTCAGTCATCCGTGAAAACAAAAAAGCTCACATCTCTATCATCTTTTATTTTTGTTGACAGTAATGAGAACCTAACGTAACCTGACGTGAACTAACCTAATCTCAAACTTAACCTAACCTAACCTAATCATGTTTTTATCATTAGTCCATATTTCTCCTGTTCAGAACACGTTTTCCGGTATCTTTAATGTTTCTATTAATTATCTACAGGAATATATTACCGTACCAATTAACATATATAAATACAAATTAATTAATTAATTTATTTACTATTACATATTCATCATTATTTACACTTCATCCAACTCTCATGTTTTGTATCGTTGTCTTTCTTTCATTACCTATCAGTTGTTTTATCTTGACTATTATTTTTTTTTATCACCACCTTTGTTGGTTTTCCTTAATTTGTCTGTCATTCTATTCTCACCATTTTCTTTCTATGTCTTTCTTTTAATTCATTCATTCATTCTCCTTTTTTCTTTGTGTGTTTTCTATTTCGTCATTCTGTTCCATTTTGTTGTCTTATTATGTTGTTGACTTTCTTTATCATCGTCAATTCTTCTCATTCTTCCTGTTATTCTATTTTTATCACTGTTCTTACTATCGCTTTTTTATTTCTTCTCTATGACTTTCCTAAATTCTCTCATAAACTTGCAATTTTAATCTACTCTTCCTTATAAGTTACAACACACACACACACACACACACACACACACACGGACGTATAGATAAACACGCTCCATAACTACGCAAGCCTACTAAGCTTCCTCATCCATCACTAACTACTAACGACATCAGATAACATCACTCTCCCTTATAAGCTTTATGCCAATGCTGTGTCCTACGTTAGTGCTGAAATAAAATTATACAAAATTATTCAAAGACATATAATGTTCCGACCTTTTTGACCTACGTTCTAAAGAAAGTTATTAGCCGTATATTGACCTTAAAGCATGAACTTATATGTTTACATTGTTGTTAGTGTTATTACTTAAGGTGTAGTTATAATTATAGGTGTATGTACAGACACTGGGAAGATAATATATTTGATCCTTATTGCCGAGCGACACTGATGAAAACACAGGGGTTGTTGAGTGTGTGTGTGTGTGTGTGTGTGTGTGTGTGTAGGTCAAAAGAGCAACGTGTCTAAGAGAAGAGGTAGGAAAAGAGAAAGGGGAAGTGTATATATATATATATATATATATATATATATATATATATATATATATATATATATATATATATATATATATATATATATATACTTTCTTATTTGTGCATTATTTTGTTACTTAATATTAAATAAATGAAGTCGAGCATTTTACAAAACTCTTCCGTTTGTGTCATGAATTCATTTTACCCAATTGACTCTCAAGAAGAAATTATCATTAACAAGAAAATCACCGAGAAAAAAAAGACACGTTATTTACTTCACGCTGTCAGCTTCGTTACCATCCAGGAGGAGATCGCTACAATTTCTGGATGATAACGAGAGGTAGTAAAATGCGGGACTGTAGACACTGGTATTAGTACAGTATAAGAAACCAAGGTAATATGAGCTTCGTTGTATTCTCATTTTTTTTTATAGGAAGAGGGAATTTTAGTCTTGATTATCTCACGTGTTAATACTAGGAAAGGAAAAAAAAGTAAACAAAATATAAGTATTACAGTATTGCAGAATATTTACGCTCCACATCTTTTACATACAATGACTTTCTTAGCTATTGATATACTACTTAAACCTGTACTCTCTCTCTCTCTCTCTCTCTCTCTCTCTCTCTCTCAACTTGCGCAGTCCTCACTTCTTCTCTTATGTCTCTCAGTATGTACACTCATCCATCCCTTTCCAGACTGCGCACCGTTTGCATCTCAGTGCGCTTCCCGGTCTATACTAATCACTTTATTAAGTCCTATATCACAATGTTTATTTTGTCGTGCGCAGTTCTCTTTATGATTTTTTTTATCATCCTCACCATCATCATCACCATCAACATCATCATCACCATCATCATCCTCACCATCATCATCCTCACCATCATCATCATCACCATCAGTCATCGCTATCACACTTCTGCTCTACTATAATATTAATAATAATAATATATTCATGTTTCAAATATTTTGCTCTAAATATATGTATACAAAGATAATTGAATGCTGAGGTCAAGAAGGACATACACGCCACCGTTTGCAAACATCCCGTCACTGGGTGTAGTTGGACCCTTCTATCACGGATACGTTGAGAGAATTCCGTTCAAACACTCTCTCTCTCTCTCTCTCACACAGTTTTTTGGGGGACTTTTTTTTAAGTTTTACTTTTGACACTGTTATGATTCTATTGAAAGTTCGTCCATTTTATTCTTTTTTTATTATTATATTTATACAAAAAAAAAGAGAGGAAGTAGCAGCCCAACTCGTCAGAAGTACAACTAAATACAAACAACAACAACAACACGAGAAGTAAAAAAAAAGAAAAAGAGAGAAGTGGATAATCGTCTAAAGTAAAAATAATCGTGACTATTTCTTTTCTTTCCTCTTATTCCTCATCTTTATTCGTCTCACGGTAAAGCAGACATACCTGACTCCCTTCCCTTCCTTTCCTCCCTTCCCGTCTCCTCCTCTCTTCTTCCCTTCCCTTTGTTTACCTCTAAAGCAATTTAAGCGTCGTTTGAATAAAAGAAAACAAAAAGAAAAATAGAACTAAATCAGCTTTTAATTCCTTCACCAGCTAGGAATAAGCTTATACTGAGCGTGCTGGAAAAGGGGGTGAAAATAATATCTGCAAGTGTTTTTATTCTCTCTATGTAAGCTTGACCGTAAACGAGGAAGTGTAGGAAATAATGGCGATGTTTACCTGTCCACTTCAGCTAACCTACCCATATTTGCCATCTATAAGCTAATAGTCTAATAACTTTGCTATTGTCTATGTTTTATATATTCACAGCTAATGAGATCGAAGTCGTGTCGTGAGGAGTAAGGGCTGCTACACCCGCTTGTTCTACTGGGTAAAATAGACAAAGGATTTTTTTTTCATATAGAATACACAGAAATCCACATTATTATTATTTTATAATATATATATATATATATATATATATATATATATATATATATATATATATATATAATATATATATATATATATATATATATATATATAATATATATATATATATATATATATATATATATATATATATAATATATATATATATATATATATATATATATATATATATATATATATATATATATATATATATATATATATACACTCTCTCTCTCTCTCTCTCTCTCCAGGGGTAATTTTTGAGAACGTCTAGTATATTTCCTTTCCACGGTCTTTGTTGTTTCAAAAGTTTGACTGATTGTAACTTGAAGTGATCACAGAATACCAGTCAATAAGATCTCTTATCTCTCTACTCTCATCCGCAGTGGTCGACGAAAGACTTGAGTCTCTCGACAAGAGACAAACTCGCGGCAGCAATGAACCACAACAGTGCTAAAATCAAGAGGAAATCACTCCCGTCACTTGAGATTACCTAAAACAAAACAAAAATAAATCACGAATTATATCCCTGTGACTGCCTTAAGTCCATCTGCCAGTAAGTCTCAGTTTATCATATGTTCGCTGAAACTAACGATTTTTTCAATCGCCTCAAAATCGTATTCTCCACCAACGTCAAACTCCCCTCAATTTCTAACTTTGCCACCGCCAGGTCTGCCTCCAGCGAGAGGTGGTGGTGTGCTCGACCCCGGCAGGATGAGAGAGATGCTGGTGTTGGTCTCCCCTGATAAACCATGACGGATCTTTTCCATGTGGAATGGTGATGAAATACGAGGAACCTGGTCATCCCTATCTTAAGACTATGGGCGTGTTGCAAACCAATCAGAGGGTTACGAATTGGCGACGTCACTGAAGTGAGCCTCCCTGATTGGTTCCCAGACACCCCCTACAATGCACCATGGAGGTATAGTTTACAGGAGTCCTGGAAGACTCCTTCAGAAAAGGAGCATCTTCAACTGCATCAAATACTGCTGCTTCTTCTTCCGAGCCCCCAACAGGAGTCCTTACAGGCCCTCTAAGGATGTCAAGCCTTTGGGCATGACACACCTACTGGACTGCCATCGTGTCCTTGAGAGTTGAAATCTTTGAGTAAGAAACAATATAAAAACGGTGACGCCCTCAGGAGTGCCATGCCCTGGGAATGCCGCACGCCCCTCACAACCATCCCTACTACTCCACGCCCTCAGGAGGACTACGCTCGAGGAAGCAGCGGTAAAAGCGCAGGAACATTGCAGACAGCAGTTATAAAGAACAAACACGGTGTCGGTGCAGGAGCCAGGAAGAAGTTTCCCAAGTTTTGGCACAATACTTTCAACACCTGTGTAAGAGTTCTTGGGTTATATCTCTCGACTTCCAAAACCTTTGACTGAAACCTGATGTCATCCTTCCTCTGATACAAATCTGTAGACCCGTTTAGAATAAAACCGAACTTTAACCTCACTTGCTCTTGCCAAGTTTGGTTGTCTCGCTGTTGTAATATTTGTTTCTTACGGTCACCATTATGAAGCACTGAGGTCTACCTCTTCATACACTTGTTAAGGGAGACCCGCTGGGTGTATCCCCTGCTCCGTTTGTTCTCATAACTGCTGACGTAGACCGTCAGCCGGGGCCACTCTACCATCTCCCATACTACCAGCTCACGCCAGTTCGAGGTGCTCCCGCTTGCCGAATTCCTTCATCATCTCGGATTTTGGCCTTGTTGTTTGTGCTGGGGTGTCGTGGAGGTGCTGTGTGCTGGCTGGGTGTTGCGTCACTGTACAGCAAGATTATGTGTTCCTGGGTGTTTTGTGTCACCATATGCCAACTGTGCATCTACTATATTGCTGGGTGTTAGGTCACTGGTCAATTAAGTGTTGCTAGGCATTACATCATCACTGTGTGCTGGATGAACAACTATACGTTGGTGGGTGTTGCGTCACTAGACAAATATGTGTGTTGATGGGTATTACATCACAATACACTGGCTGGGAATTGTGTTAACAGGATAACTATACGTAGGTGTCGGGTCATTATGGGTCAACTGGACGAGTGGGTGTAGGTGTTGGGTGTTATGGCACTTGGCATCAAAACACTACACTGGAAGAGTCTCGTTGTTAGTCTGCCTCAGAGGAAATTCTTGTGGATCTTTTTGTAACAGGGAGAAGAGGAGGAAGAATACCAAGAAGGAAGAATACTAAGAAGGAAGACAATCCAGAATCCTTTCCAGTTAAGAAATAGGAATACGAGGAATAGAAAGAAAATGAAACTTTTTTTTCTGTTCCCTTTTATGTTTGAAAGATGTGTAAATAACCCTTGAAATATTTCCAGTCTTGACAAGAGATGTGACATGTTAAGTAGCGTGGATCATCAAAACTGAGAGCGTGTCTTATTTTCGTGTGCGTGTGGGACTTCCTGAGTCATAAGTGTTATTTTTCAATTTTGCAATGAGCCAATATAGTGCAAGAGTTTGTTAAGCTCAGAAACGTTATTCGGTTGGTGCTAATTCTCTTCAATTCTGTTGTGTTGTGCGGTTAGATAGTAGTGTTGAATCTCTAATTGTGTTGCCAAAACTAAGGTAACAGCAACTTTTGGGTGGGTTTTGGCTTTGAGTGCATTTTATTTTTTTACCTGTGCATTATTCGCAGTATAGAGTCTAGTCTAATTTTGTATTGCGCGATATCTTATAATTCTTTTGGTCAAGAAAGTGCAATAGTGCAAGGAACTAATTGTGAATCTAATTTAGGAGGGTGGTAGCCGTGCCAGGGCCAGTCATTCTCGGGTTATATATGAGTTGTTCAGTGTTGGCAGGCAAATAGTTGTTGTTGTGATTGGTGTTGTTATTGTGGTTGTTGTTATAATATATTAATGTGCTTTCAACAGCCAAGGTCTTATTAATTACAGAACACAAGGACGGATTCTACGCTAAACAACAACTATTAAGATACAGTGAAGGTAAACAAATATAGACTTTAAAGGCATTATTGATATAATAAAATAAGACTTTGACAATGAGGTCTTGATACGCCTTAAAAAAAAAGACTTGGGTATTAAGTGTAAAAAAAAAAAGAATAGAAATCAGACTTTTATAAGGATTTGGCACAGATATGGCAAGAAAGACAGACAGAGAAAGGCTGGAGAATTTTGGGGGAATTTCTAATTCTTTGGACAATTTTCATCTTCTATGGGTCTTTGGAAGCTGTACTATGTCATGTTAGCTATGGTTAAGAAGTCTTACTAATACCTAATACCTCTTTGGAATTTCTTATGAAGGAAAAAAATGAAAGAATTATGGTAATAAGAAAAAAAAAGAAGGAAAATAATGTCTTTGGGGTTTCCTAATATTCTTTGGGACCTGCTAGTCTTTGGGAAATCTCTCTCTCTCTCTCTCTCTCTCTCTCTCTCTCTCTCTCTTGGGAACCTCTAGCGAATCTCTCTCTCTCTCTAGCTCTCTCTCTCTCTCTCTCTCTCTCTCTCTCTTTGGGGTTCTAACTGTGTAAGGACCTATTTAGTATCTCTTTGGGAGTTCTAATTCTTTGGGATATCTCTGCAGGAGGGACTTTTGATGTGGCAAACTTGAGGTGGTTGTGGACCTACTTCTGTAAACAACACAAGCGGGTAGTGTTAGTCAATATATGGGACGAAAGGTTCAGTGTAAACAAGGACTTATATCAGGCAAGTGTTATCTAAGCCAGCTGTGACTTCATCGCTACTTTGGTAATAGTGGATCCGTGCCCGTTCATAGTTCATCGCTACTTTGGTAATAGTGGATGCAGTCTAAATATCACGTCTTGGCTTGCTGTAGGGAGTATATCTAGAACAGTTTTCACTTCGTGTTTACTTCGGTATGAGCTTGATGGATCTAACACAGTCGGTGCCTCTCAACCGTTATCACTGGTAGTCTGGGAGATGTTTAGAAGCTCGTCGCCGTCAAGGGAAAAGTTGGTAACCAAAAAAAAAAAAAAATATGTATATATATATATATATGAATAATAATAAAAAAAACGAAAACTTTACATATCGTTCATTTTCATATTGACAGCATTCACTGTTTTTGTCCCTCTTCACCCACCACAAAAAAAACAATATTATTTCTTAACTTGAGGGAATATTAGAATAATATAATAATAATTAATATACATATTATTTCTAAGGGATATTCTCTTTCTGAAATTTACAATTAAAAAGTAAACAACGACATTGACCGGATGTAAACAAAGAGTTGCCAGACGTCGCTTGATCACCGGCGACTCTTTTACGCGCATGGTTCACTCCTTCCTCCTCTTCCCTCTCTTCCCCTCTTCCTCTTCCTTTCCCCTCCTCCACCATCTTCTCTTCTTCTTCCCCTCTTCCTCTTCCCTCTCTTCCCCTTCCCTCCTCCGCCCTCTTCTCTTCTTCTTCTTCTTCCCTCCCTTCTCCTCCCACCTTCTTCCCTTCTTCCTCCCCTCTTCCTCTCCCACCCTCTTCTCTTCTTCCTCCCCTCTTATCCTCCACCCTATACCCTTCTTCCCCACCTCCTCCCCTTCTTCCACTTCCCCCAGTATTTCTTTGTCTTCTTCTGCTGGCGTGTTAGTCGTGTTGGGATGATGTGTCCCTTGTAAAACATATAACAATATAATAACAGTGAATTATTTTCTAATCGATAATGGCTACCACAGCCTAAGTTTATGTATCCATTCACTTACACTTAACAACGGTTTTGAGAGGGATTCATATTCTATAAGTTGACTCAGCTAAGTGTTACTGTTAGTGCATTATAAGTACTGTTTCTTGACTGGCTTTTGAGCTGACAGAAAAGACATAGGTGTAAAATAGTTTTTCCTACACTTTGGAATAATAATAATATTGATGATAATAGTAATAGTAATAGCAGTAATAATCATTTAATATGACGATGAGGAAAAATAATATCTACTAAACTATTATTGGAAAATTTTAGCCAAGTTTTCTCGTAGAATATGACGTATTAATGTTATTTATATCCCAAATGATGAGAGATTCCTAACAAAATATACAAGAAAAACAAAAAAGTTAAGATTTACGACAGAAATAATAAAATTTTCCAGAACATTTACATGCAGGAAAATGATCCCTGAAAGA